GTTTTATTCAAATTATATAAAAAAATTCTCATGACATAAGAAATTAACAGCTTAGTTAATTAAACCTGTGTTTGAGTTTGTGTTGCTTTAATAGTCTTTAATGTTTGCTTTTGCTATTTATTCCCCATCTATTTCCTCTAGTTATATTTTTGCTTCTTAGGGTTTATAAGCAAGAATAAGAGGCTTATAGTATAAGAATTAAAATAATGAACATCGGGAAGGCATACTGTGAATTTTAAAAGTTAATTACTTTAACTTTAACATTGTAGGTAACTTGACTCACAACCTGTTCTTGCTATCATAGTTCACTGAACTACACCAGCAGCTTTTATTAGAGAACATTCCAGAATGGCATAATCTGCTCATATGAAGAAACTTGTTGAATAGTGAGCAAGATAGTTTTGGAGAATGACAGGCATATGTTTTCCATAGTTGTGTCTTTGTGTAGTGAAAACTATGAGTGGAGGTTGGAGACAACTGAGTTTATTTAACGAATTGGCAAGTTGGGAAGGGTAGAGATTGGGCAAGTGGGTGCTATGGGAGGGTTGGGTAGTTAGTAATTTATGACCTTGCTGCTGGTTGTGGTGCCTGGCATTGCTATGATAGTGACAAAATAATATTTTTTTATTTCTTTGGGAGTGCCGTTTATACATATTGTCCTTGTGTTACAGAGCTCCCCTTAACTCCCCAAAATATCTCATTTTATTTTCCAGAAGTTTAGATAATAACGTATAATAGCTAAAATGATCATAGAAGTGACCTTCTTCCAATATTATTACTTTCTTTTAATCCTGGGACTTTATTTCTTTAAAGATTTATTTAATTTATTTATGCATACAAGAGCTGGGGTACAGACCATGGATGCAGGGTGGGGGGAGTGAGAGGATTAACTGGAGACAGAGTGGGCAGCAGAACAGGCAGATCTGCTGAAATACACTGCTAAGGGGAGAAAGCAGTGAGCAAGACAGGAGAGCTCTGCTGTGCCATGTGAGTTAGCTCTGTGGCTGGGGGTCAAAGTCATACTGCAATGGCTGGTGATAGCTTTATAGTGTTGAGACAGCCTGAGCTACCAGGAAGGCCATAATCCTAGAACTTTAAATTCTGATTGATTATTGTTACAAGATTTTAGAATGAGCCTTTAATTTTCTAGTTTCTCTTGTGATTTCTTATTTGACCCATGAATTATTTAGATCCATAACTTATTTAGAAATTACTTAAGTTCTGTGTACGTGGGTTTTTCCAGATGTTTTGTTAAATTCCGATTTAGTTCTGTTGTGGTCAGATAAACATTCTTTAAGACTTCCGCTTATGAATTGACCCATTGATCATCATTAATTATTTACTTTGAGTGATAATTTATTTGATATTAACTTATTAGTTTCTGAAGTCTAATTTTTATTCATTCCAGTCTTTCAGTGCTTAATGTTTGCATAAGGTACTGTTTGCCATTTATTTTCATCTTGTCTGTTTAAAGCACATATTTTGAGAACAGCATATAGTTGTATGTATAAAAAGTTACAAACATAACAAAGGTTGTATGTTACTTGTTTTTGATTTATTTGGACATACTTTGCTGTCTAAGAGTAAGATTAATATTTAATCTATTTATCTGTTTGAACCTAAGTTACCCAGTTTGTTAATTCTTTTGAATTAACATTGGTTTATAATCTTGTATATAAATGTAGAGTATAGGATCTTCCTCTTCAGGTGCTGCTACCACACCATACCCCCCACCACCTCTTTTTTCTCTAAGCATTGCTCTATGGATTACATACATACCCTTACCATTTCAGTGTACTTAGAGTTAGTATTTCACTATTCATGTGAAATGTTAAAACCATATAACTTTGTGTCCATTTTGCTAGCTTATACTTTATTCTAAGCCCTATATATAGTAAAGCAGCACAATTTTTGCTCCGAGCACTTAACTGTCTTTTAAGTAAATTGTTTGTGTTACATATGTGTTTACCATTCCTAGTGACTTCATTCTTTCCAAAGATTCATGTTTCCATCTGTTATGATTTTTTTTTAAAGATTTATTTATTTGTGCATACAGAACTGGGGCACAGGCTGCGAGAGGCTTCACCAGAGACAGAGTGGGGTGCAGAACAGGCAGATCCACGAAGTACACTGCTGAGGGGAGCAGTGGGCGGGTCAGGAGAGGTCCTCCACGCCATGTGGTCACCTCTGGGGCAGGTGGGAATCAAACTCATGCGGAAGTGGCTTTAGCTTCTTAGTGCTGTGCTTTAACCCGCTGCGCCACCAGGGAGGGCCCCT